CCATCCTCACAAAGTGCTCATCATCCAAAGCAAATCTGACCCACTCCTGTTTTACTAAATAAAGTTTATCATCTAGGTATTATCTATGGCTGCTTTTGTGCTACAATAGCAGAGTTGAGTAGTTCAATAGAGACTGGATGGCTTGCAAAGCCTAAAATGTTGGCTAGCTGGCCCTTTATGGAAAACAGTTTTGCTGACCTCTGATTTAAAAGGAGAGATAGATGAAGAATAAGCAATTCTCTCAAAACATGCTAACGGCAGAGGTATGAACAGAACACATGTGAGCATCAAATGGAAAGCTGTAAACACACATGTACACACACATGCACACGCACCTTTCCTCTCCCCGTGCACACACACATATCTCATGTACATGCATGGTCTTATTTCATCTTTCACAGAAGCTTTATCAGGCATACAGATTGGGAGCATAGCTTCTCGAGATCAATTAGTTTCAAATTTAAAGCTTTGCCACTTACTAGCTGAGTGATTTTTTTGGGTAAGTTACTTACCTTCTCTGTGCTTCCCTTGCTAAACATGAATAATATTACCTATATATCATAGGGTCACTGGAAGGATTAAGTGAAGGCATAGACTAGCCTCTGACACATAGTATACAATATGTAAATAGCTGTTATTATTTATCCCCATTTTCCAAAGGAGTAAACTGAGGAATAGAGAGGTTGAATAATTTTGTCAACGTCACAAAGGTAGAAAAAAGTAGATGCAGAACTTAATCTCAGCTCTGATTCCAAACCTTGGATTTTTACCACTGTTGTATTGCTTCTCAATAATAAAGGCTTATTGAATTTATAAGTAAAATGACCACAATGCAATTTCTTTACCTTTTCCAACAATTCTTTCTATTTTTTAAATTGCTGTTTTAGCTTTATTTATTGGCAGGTCCTACAGCTCTCTTGTACTGTGTGAGTTCTGCATGCGCCTTATTTGAATTCAATATATTAATATATTCACACCTAATTCTTCAATGGCTGTCTTTCGAAGTCATGGCCACTTATATTATTAAAATATTTATATTCATGGCTTTAAAAGCATAAGCCTAAGCAAAGCTTCTGCTGGTGATCTATATAACAATATTCAAGTAATTTTAAATATAGAATAGTGCTTTTAAATACTAAACTCTAAATAATTAATTTGGTACTTAGTATTGCTCTAAGAATATACCAAAACCAGTGATATTTTCCATAGAGTTTTCAGAGAGTGGGTTTATCCTCCTTTCGTATTGAGCTGAATTAAAACAAATAAGTACCATCAGCGTGCGGATAACAGCCTTTCTCAGAATGGATCTAAGAGAAAATGCGTGTCCCCTGAAACCCCTGTGTCTTACCTCCAGATCACTGCCTTTGGCAGAGGAATACTATAGTGATATCTTAACTGAGAAACAAGTTACTATTTGAAGAATTCTGTGTCAATAAAAAGATAAGGTCAATACCCATTTGATTTTACATGTTGTTTTGAGTTTCTAGAAAAGCATTTTTCATGGATGACAGTGCTGCTTCTTTGACAAGGAAATGATACTTTTGAAATCTGATGTGTACTCACTAAAAGTACATTGCAAACTGGAATCCTCATGTATGATATCTGCTCAAAGGCTAGAAGCCTGTGAAAAGGATTTTATTTAACTGTTTCTCCATTTAATTAATAGCTGTTTTTGAAATTTAGATATTAATTTTAATGAAATGGTTTGATATCCAAAAGAGACACTGTAGTTTTTGATTTTGACAAACTAAGTACTTTATATAAATGATTTTGAAATCTCACAACTACAAGAGTTGCCAGAATTTCCAAATTTTTAAGGAACAGTAAGGGTTCTAGGATAACTCAGATCCCCTTGGTTCTAGACATTGCTCCATATTTTCTGGATCTGGTTCTGACTAAATAACATGTTATTCCAGCCTAAAGCATGTAATTCCTGAAGGAGGTCCTTAGCACTTTCTCTTCCCACTGTAGTGACTGAGGAGGTCACGTATTCCAGACAATGCAGCTACATATGGAGGGGCTGCTGCCAGCCTGGGTCCTTGAGTGACTGTGTGGAGCTGAGCCCCCTCTACTGGCCTGTGTTTGACATGTAATGTGATAAAAGACTTTCTTAAGTGTCTAAGATCTGGGGATTATTTATTACTGCTGTATAGATGTCCTATTCAAATACAGTTGTCTTTACCTATTCTCCAAGTGGATCACCTTTTCCTCATTGATTTATAAAAACTCTTTGTATATTAAGAATATGAACATTTTGTCTGGTACATTTGCTGCATTTTTTTTCTCTCCCTGCCTATAATTTTGCTTATATTTTATTTTGCTGAACAGAAATATTTTTGCTTATGCTGTATTTTTTTTTTTTAAGATTTTTATTGGGGAATTGGGGGATGGGAACAGACAAGTTGCTGTCCTTTTGTTCTTCAGTCTAGTTGTGGCGGACATTGCTTCACTGGCCCAAGCTGGCACCATCATTACACTCTTCCCAGGCGAGGCAGATCAGTCGCCGGCTTCTGGACGGCCACTCACACTGGCTGCTGGCTACACACAGTAGCCCATGGCAACCCACTGCCACAGGGGCTGCAGCCTACGCTGTCGCTGGCGACTCATGGCAGCCTAGCTCCAGGGTGAGCTGTTGTTCAGCACCTTAGCTGTGGAGGGCAGTGTCACTGGCCCTCATATGTGGGATCCGAACCGGGGCTCTCTGGTGTCCCAAGCCAGCTCTTAACCACTGCGCCACTCGGCCGGCCCTGCTTATGCTGTATTTTTATGAACAGGAATTCAAAAGTTTTATGTAGCCAAGCTTGTCAACTATGTTCTCCTATGGTTTCTAGTTTTTCTGTCATAAATAGAAAGGATCTCCCCTTGCCAAGATCATAATTTTCCCATTGTCATTTACTGAATAGGTTATCTTTTCCCCACAAGGCTGAAAAGCTACGTCTGGACTTAATATTTTTCTATGTTTATGCCTGTTCCATACTAATTTATTTATTATTGCTTTTTAATATATGCTCTGATATATGATGCAGCCAATTCCTCTTTATTTTTCTATTTCAAAATATTATTGTCATTCTTCTTACAATTTGTCAAGTTCAAGAAAAGAAAATATGTTGGGATTCTATATGAAATCATACAAAATGTACATATTAGTTATTACAATATTATTGACTATATTCCCTATGCTGTACTTTACATCTCTGTAACTATTTTATAACTAACAATTTGGTACTTCTTAATACCTTCACATTTTTTCTCCAGTATATTGCTGAGTTTTCAATCAAAGAAAATGGTGTGCATCTTCATTTATTCAGATCTCATTAAAATTCTATAGTTTTTCTTGTATATTTCTTGTTAAATCTATTTTTAGGTATTTTATAATTTTTGCTACTATTGTGAATGTGTTTTTTTTATACTAGATTGACTTATTAAATCTTATGGCTCTATACTTAATTGGTAAAACAGAATAGATAAATGTCAAAGACTTGTCAGAGAATATAGTTTAAACTCTTTTCTGTTCAGTGATTACCTAGAACCTAATTGATAGATGTGATATACATAATTGTCTCAAAGATGAAAAAGAAATATGTCTTGGGCACACCCTAGACTAAAAAATATGGTGTCTACCTGGACCAAATCATAGTGGATATGCATGAAACTCTCCCTCATTCCATTTTGATGTTAGGCCATTGCCCTATGAAAACTCTTTCCAGAACTTACTAGAAGGTTGTTTTTCAAAGATATTGTTTTCTATATTACATTTATCATGTGTCGGAAGCTCCCAAAGAGGAATTCCCTGGTCTTTGCGCCTCCTGAGAAACTGTTTTGTGCTTTTATCTAGGGATCTCGATTATAAATCATGTAACTGATAGCATTTCCTTCTGCACTGGCTGCTAGAGAGATTAGAGTCAAATTTTTTCTCACCTCTAACAAATGCATAAGATTTTCATGGATGTATTTGAATTCTAAGCTTATTCCTGGCTTTGCTGAGCTTTCTTTTCTACACTCATACCTGTATTTCATTTATTTTTATTTTGTTACATCTTATGTATCTTTGTAATCCACTTTAAATGCTTTCTGGATCAAAACAGACTTGAAAATGCGTAGGCAGGTTTATATCTTCTAATGCATGCTCTAGTTCATGAAATTGCATGATAAGTTTTATATAAAGAACTTTATTTTGAAATAAAGAATTAGACATTCTTCGAAATTACAGATTGGTTTATACAGAACAATCTTGCCTTAATTTCTAAAATCAAACTCACCTTTAAAGATCTTATAGTAAAATGATTACACAAGTAAATGTTAGACTTAAAGCCTGACTAGAAAATATTCACTTTATGAGATTCATCATATTACTTATTTTTATCTCTCTTATAATTTGAAATGTGTGTTTGCTCCCTGTTTTGTGCTTAATACTGAAAACACAATTCCTCAGCAAAGATTTATTCTATTTTTTTTTAAAGATTTTTATTGGGGAATTGGGGGATAGGAACAGCTCTGGGGAATTGGGGGAAGGGGAACAGACAAGTTGCTGTCGTTTTGTTCTTTAGTCTAGTTGTGGAGGACGTTGCTTCACTGGCCCAAGTTGGCACCATCATTGCGCTCTTCCCGGGCAAGGCAGATCAGTCG